GGCGGGAGGCCGGGGGGGGGGGGGGGACACGACACGACACCGGGGAGGGTCTCTGCCCGCCCGGGGGTTAACGGGCGGTCTGGGAAACCGGCGTTCGTGTCCGCACCGGGACCCGCACGCCCGACTTCCACGGCCCAGGACCGGCACCAGCCGGGACACGCACGCCCGGTTCTCCCACAGCCCAGGTCCGCGCACACCCGGGACCCCCGGCCCGGGACCCCACAGTCCCCGCACACCCGGGACCAGCAGCACCCGGGTTCCCCTGAGCACCCCCTGAGCCCGGGACCGGCACAGCCCCCCAGGCCCCGACCTCCCCGTTTAAGCCGATTACCGGACGCTCTGGTGAATCCGGGATCGTTAATAGCCGGGATTGGCAGCGGGGGCGGCCGGGGAGCTGCCGGGGAATCTGGGGGGCTCCGCAACCCCTTCCCACCACCGAGCACTCACCGGGAACGGTGGGTTCGGTCCATCCCACCAGATCAGTCAGCCTCGTCCGTCCATGGCCGCCCTCTTCACCGGGAAGGTCCTGATGGCCAACCGGGAACGGGACGAGGTGGAGACGGAACGGGAGCTGGGCCGGACGCTGGAGAACAAGGTGCTGCTGCTCTACTTCGGATCCGGTCAGTGCCCGCGGTGCCGGCAGTTCTCCCCGCTCCTCAAGGATTTCTTCCTACGGTTGACTGATGAGTTTTACGTGGAACGAGCTTCGCAGCTGGTCCTGGTGTACGTGTCCCGGGACGAGACGGAGGAGCAGCAGAGCGCTTTCCTGAGGTCCATGCCGAAACGCTGGCTGGCCATACCTTTCGGGGACGCCTTCAAAAGGTACGGCCCCCAGTGAAGTAGGGAGGCAGACCCCGTGCGCTGCAAACGGCCCCCGCCTGTATTTTCAGATATTTAAACTCTTTTCCAGATGTTTTCTCTCATATTCAGTCCCTGCTGGAGCGGTCAGGGCAGTGCGTTCATGGAAAAAAAATGGTAAAGCTCTTTGGCTGCACCTATTTATAAGGCAAAAATATTTCCTCTTCCTTCCATCTCACTTTTTGCTGATATATTTGTATTCCAATTTTATAACGCACTATTTATAACTCTTAAAGACGCGTCAGCCAGCCCTCTGGGCAAAACACGTAGCGTGAAAGATGGACGCAGCCAGGCGGATTGGAAGCACTCACGCATTTACTGTAACCTCATTAGCGACAGAACGAGCTGCAATTAATACCAAGAATTATTCTCAGCTCCTTTTGAGGGCAAACTGGAGGACGTTAAAATTTTAAGGGTCCTGCTGCTGTTTAACCGCTGCTCCTGTAAAACAGGTCCCAGCAGCCGTCCCGCATCTCCCATACCCCAGGGGGCTGACGCCCAAATCCCCTTTTACCAGCCCCACAGGGATCTGCATCAGGCTCTAATTTCCGGCAACGGACAAAGAGCGGGTTACATTCAGCAAATAGGCTCCGCTTAGCTCTGTCCGCACCAGGAAAGCCGCAGGAATCCTACCGGATGGTGAGGATGAGGAGCGGCGAGGACCGCTACACCCTTCCCCATTTGAGGTTTCTTCCCCTTTGCCTTGCAGGGAGCTGGAGCTGCAGTTTGCTGTGTCCGAGGTGCCCACGGTGGTGGTGCTGAAGCCGAACGGGGAGGTAATCGTCGGAAATGCGGTGGAAGAGATCCAATGCATGGGCCCCGCTTGCTTCCGAAACTGGCAGGAGGCTGCCGAGCTGGTAGATCGAAATTTTCTCTTGGCAGAGGATTTTGACGACTGCACCAGGAGAAGCATCACTGACCCCATCCGCCGCCTCAAGTACAAGCTGGACAAGAAGACGGAGGCGAAGAACAGGGAAAGGAAAGAGGAAGGTGAAGAGTCTCCTTAGGGACTCGGGAGGTTGCGGCTGCGCCAGCTGGGGACGTCCCTCAGGTCGCTGTCCCCACCCAACGTCTCCAGAACAGCAACATTTGTCTGTGTTGTAGAAATCCACTAAAATCACGTTCGTTTTCCAAAAGGTGAATTGTTTTAAGGCAAAGGTTTTCATATCTGGAAAATTGGTTAGCATAATAAGGATATTCTGACCCTGACTAAATTACATTTCCTTTTTATCACCCTAGGACCTAGCATAGTAAAAATCTCACAGTGACATCTTTGTCAGTTATTTAGCAAAAAAGTGAGAAGAAAATTAACTGCTAGAGACCGGCGTTCAGTGAATGACTCGCTAAACATTTTTAATGGGAATCACATTAAAAAAAAAAAGGCAGCATGCCCAGGCGCTGCTATGGAGGTACAGAGAAGCTGTGGCAAACAACAACGGGAATAAATCCCTACGATAAACCCATGTAGGGGTTTTTTTTTTAGGAGACAGGCACCCACGGGCTAAGTGGGCAAGTCCTGAGAAACCTCCCACATTGCTGCTCACGTTACACTGCTGAAAATTTACATTACGGACAAATCCCGCAGAAAAGCAGGTTGCTCCATGACCGGAATTACAACGTGCAGCAGCTGCCCTGGTGACCTGCCTCGCCGAGCGTGAGCCACCTCTTTTTATCTGCTAATCGCGGTTGCCATCTGCTGCTGCAGAGTGCCAAGCGCTGCCGACGGCAGCAATCCACCGGGAAGCTGAGTCCCATCCCAGATGGCAGATCTGCCTGTCCTAAACCTGCCAGGGCAGCACATATCCTTAGTTAAACATCGCTCTGCTCCATCCTGTCAAATTCAACAGATTTGTGTGAAGCCGACGCTCTGAATGGCTGAGAGGGAACACGCTCTGTAGCCAAAAAATCTCGTTTACTGAGCCTGCAGGAAATCCTGCTGCACGCATCCCCCACTTTCCATAATCAAGGGGTCTGAAAAGCAGGAGAAGGGGGAAAAGGACCATTAATTTGCTCGTTTCTGGTCCCCTGTTCTCCACTGTATCACTGGGGAGGTGAGCGGAGGATTTACAAAAGCTTTGCTGGATCCGTGAAGGATCTGGGAAGGAAAGCGCATGTTGAAGACAGACAGAGAGGCCGTGCAAGGCCAGCTTGTTCAACTTGTTTTCTCACTTAATCCTCTCTCTCTTCACCCAGCAAGTTTATCAGGTAGATCAGGGAAGGAGGAGAAGTCCTGTAAAATAAACAGTTGGGAGGGACTCTGCGTTAGGCAGAACAAGAAGGGCACTTCCTTCAGGATGCTCTGTGGTGCATGGACACTGCGTGAAAAGGCACAAATAAAACCCAAAAGTGCTTTCAGGTGACATACCTGCTGGCAGAGTGAAGCGGTACTGGCTGATGGTCGCTAATGAAACAATATTCCATTTACCTCAGGCAATGTCCAGCAGTTAGTATGCCTGTGTTTAAAAAAGAAGTTATAAATCACAAATTAGGAACCTGGAGCAATGGGAGGGAGCCAAAGGGTGTCATTTTCGCCTGTTATTAACTGGCAGTCAGGTGCTTCTTCTCATCCCCATGGAACTTTGATGTCAATAAAAGGACACTCTCCACCTGAGTTGTGTAAAGTTCAGTAATATTAAATGTGGACTTTTACCAGCCCTACCCATTTTTCTTTTTTTAACCATCATCTTTTCCTCTGTTCAAAACCAAAAGTTGCCCTTTTCTTGGTGGTTGTGCGCAACAACAGGCCAAGGAAGGCACACCAAACAATAGTGAAAAGTGAATCTGCCAGCACAGGAAAGTGCTGCTGTGCCAACATCGTCATCACTGTAAAGAGAAACAAGTGCTTTAGTTTCTTTTCTTGATTTTCTGGATTACTTTTTTCCCCAGTAAAAGAAGCCATAACACTTACTTGTGCTTTAGACACAAGTGTGAGATGGAGCTGCTCTTTTCTTACGATAAAGCTTCACAGTACGTGGGAAGCCAAGAAAGCAAAATCGATGAGCCGCATCGCAGGCAGGAGTCACTTTGCAGGTGGGAGAACAAGGGGAGGCAGCGCCGGCAGATGCTCTACCTCGGGAGTGAACACGGTATTGCACTGCATGCTGGCTGCGAGGAGCAGAAAAATCCTACAAACCAACCGCTGCAAGCATTATTTCTCCAACTCGGATTCCATCAGAGATGAAAATCCTCCTGATGGACGCATTGCACAGCACTGTTAAGACATTTAGCTCTGCTTTCATGCATGGGGCTAATTATTTATATTTATAAGACACAGAACAAAGGGCATTTGAATGTTTAGGGCAGTATCTGAGCCAGTGCAAGTAATCAATTTCCAATATATTTACTTTTTCAAACATGATACCTTACAGTTGCATAATTCTTGCTTTACCTTTTCCCTACATCCCACAATCTCCTTACAAAGGGCCTTGCTGTTTTGTAAAAATATACTGGTGCACGTAGAATCACAAAGATGCTTCACGAGTTTCAGGCAGCAGAGAGTTAATGAAAGCCAGTTAGGAGGATGGGTCTGATCCCCTAGATAGCCTGGGAAGTGAGTAATTTCACAACTCCCAAGAGGAATGTGGAAAATCCACACAGCCTGACACCTGTCTGAGGTTGCAGACTCATCCCACGCAGACTGCAAGTAGCGTCGCTTCCCGCAGCAGAGGCACAGGGCAGCCCAGCGGAGATTCGGGAGCCCAACTGCACCAGGACACCGGCAACGGCTCGATTTTCTGGTTTCACCAGCAAATACCAAGATGCCACGGTACTTTGGATAAACCGAGAGATTTCTCATGAGAGGTGATGGCTTTTCCCTCGTCTGTGTTTTAGCTGAGGAAGGACAACGAAAGAGATGGAAGACATTCTCTACAGCTCGCCTAAACCAACATTTTTACTTGCAGATAATGTTATGGTAAATAAGAGAGGCCGATACGGAAATGCAGCACTATTGCATATGGATATTCGGGGCTTGGTTTTGATATCCAAGCCTTGCTAAGGAAAAGTTTCCTAAACTTGGGTTTCCATTTGCTGGAAAGGGTGTGAAGAAACTTGATAATTAAAACTCGCTTTGGTCATTTCTCAGAAAACAATGGTTGCAACTCTGCTGAATTAGAAAATGAATAAATGCTGAGAGCACGAGAATTCATCCCATACCCTCCTTTTTTTTTTTTTTTTGAGTGTTTTGTCTTGCGTCTCCAGTTGCTTTTGCAGAATGCTGCTTCTCCTTTTGATGAGGGAGAGCCGTGCTCATAGCCCACGGGACCTTGGATGTGTGCACCCAAAAACATAGCCTGAGAAAAAGGCTCACCCACTGGACTCGGGAAAGCTCTGCAGCGGGTGCTCCACCTCGCCATGAACCAGCCGGGAGCCCAGGACAGTGCCGGTCGTGCTCAGATCGCAGCCGGATCCCCAGGCAGATGCCTTCCACCCAGCCACGAGCCCGATGCTGGATGCCTGGCTGCTGCCTGGGCTTCAATCCAGAGCCCTGTCCCTGATGATTGTGCCAGCTGCATGGACTTCACAGCTGGCGAGGTGCTCCGCGTCACCAAACACCTGAGGAACATTGACAGGAAATTTCAGAACTTCCGTGAGCTCTTCGGAAAAGGTAAATATTTTTCAATCCACTTGTTTGCTTACAAAACAAGCAGATTATGTTCAGCAAAAGCGATGCTGTCTCATTCCTGCTGCATTATTTATTTAAAGCAATTAAATTAGATGGCGCTCAGACAATTTATGGTGGCTTCTCTCTGCACGGATATTTAATTATGCAAACGTATTTTCCTATAATGAATTGCATCAACAGATAAAGTTTCAGAGCACTTAACCATCTAAGTGCACAGGTTTCCTCCAAATGTGATGCAAAAACACTTCAAGTGCTATTGACAGCACCTGCAATTACTCACAAGTGAGTTAAACTGGCTGGCACAAAGGGTGCCTGCGATGTCCCCTTTGGGAAAACCGGGATTCATCATCGGGAAGGAGTCCAAATGTCATGAGTCGAAGAAAGGCTCAAGCTGGTGATGCTCTGGGTGGCAGTGGGAGCCCAAGCGTGTGTCACAGCCCAGAAATGTGCTCCAGCAGAAGTGCCATGCCTTCTGGTCCAGCACGCTGGCACCTTCCCCCTCTCCTCCTTTTTCCCAGGACAGCCTCTCTACTTGCAGGACACTCTTCAGGCTGGAGCCCAAGTAAATAGACCTAAACTGAGATTTAAGAAAACAATCATCACAGGCTCGGTGCTGCTCTAGAAACCTTGTACAGCATGGCAGCATTAACAAAATCCCTTCAACTGCTTGCTGGGACAAGAAACCTCCTGGAGGAATGCCACCTTCTCCACCAAGGCATCCGGAGTTCCCTGTGATCTTGGTCTCTCCACCCATGGCCGCAAGCTGTAGCTCTAGGTCACAGTGACTGCCTTACCCCAGGCATGCCAAACAAGTTGGTTTGGCCATGCTTCTCAAGCAAATTCCTAACTATGGTGGTGCTCTTAGTTTTGCAAAAGGTTTGCTTTTAACAGCCCCCGAACAATGCTGGCTGCACATGGAAATTAGACCTGCCTGAGCTGGCTCCCTCTCCTTTGCTGAGTATCTTTACAAGTGCCCAGCTTGGGACTGCGTTTTTGTCTCAGAGGTTGGCCTTCAGGTTGTAAAGACACAAAGATATGCAACACTCCTGCAGCAGTAAGCAGGGACGTCCATTGCTTGGGCTCATGGAGTAGAACCTGGACAAAAGGCAGCGTGGAGCCTCGTCGAGGGTCCTGGCCCTGGTGACTAAGGACGGGGCAATTTCTACATCCGTCCCTTCACTGCATGTGGGTTTTCTGCTTGCTTGGGTGTTCAGCATTTGTTATTTTCTGTTTTGTGCAGAACTCGAGTATTTAGGAACAGCCGGGTACCTGTACCACTGTGCTGAAGTGAGTTCATCCTGGGAGAGGTGAGGATGAGAGTTTATGCATGCAAAAACCCCGTAATTTTTCCCCTTCTTAATTTTAGGAGAAGTTATTTCAGCTTCTGCTGAAGCCAAACTGGCAGAGTTACTGCAAGCCATCTCCACCTTCCTGAACACATATCCTGCTTTGACTGGGGATGCCATCCAGCCTGCCGTAGCAACCCTTATCACCAATATCGATGGTAAATGCATAACCTTAGAGAACCTAACGAGCACTGTAGTTATTGCCCTCTGCTCAGTGGTGATGGAAAGCTTTCAACCAGGCTCAGCACAGACACACACGGGTGTCCGCGTGCACAGAAAGCACATCAGTACTGAAGCTGAGCAGAAGTCAGTGATCATCAAGGCTTATTCATATCCAGATCCCATCGTTAGGGAAGATGGTGCTTTTAAAATGCACAAAAGCAAGATAAAGGCTTAGACACGAGAGCCTTTTATTTAGGTTGGCAGTCATGCTGGCAAACTGCACCTATCTGTCTGTTTTCCCCTAATAAAGACACATTGCGTTCGGATGGTGAAACCAAAGGATGGAAATGCGAGGCTCCGGGGAGCTGTTCTTGGCTTGGTTATGTCTGTTGGAGCGAGGAGGCGTGTGTCAGGACTTCTCCCAGCACTGAATTCCTGTATAATCCTGTGCAAAATGTTTTCATGTGTTTGCTTGTCAGTGTGTGGCAGTGGGGGGGAGAATTAGATTGACCCACAGAATGGTTGTGATAGCCCTTGGAGGTTAAGGTAGTGTCCTATGCCATGCCACCTTGGTTGGATGGTTTGAATATTTGCACATTATTTTCTTGGGAGCTCAGATATACTTAAATCTACAGGAAAATCCTTGCCTGAAAACTCGTCTCAGCCTCCTCGGAAGAGAATCGTGGTGGTTCCTGGCCTTTGTTTGGGGGTCAGATGAGCTTCAAGAGGAAGCACTGAATGCCCCATCCCAATATTCTGTGTATGAGCAGAGCCAGGACCAGCATGAGGCTCCTGGCAGGGACCTGGAAGGAAGGAAAGTGCACTAACCACACTGCCGCTTTCACTCCCTGGGTCCTTTCCTCCCATGCCTTCAAAAGACTTGCCGATGTGAAAATATGTTTGCCTTATAAAATAGCAGTGGTGACGTAAAGGGAAGTTTAATGAGACTTCATAGGGGGCTGCTCCTGTGTATTGTCTGCAGTAGCTTGCCATTGTGCTTGTTCTAAAATAGTAATTAAAAAAAATTCACCTGTTCGAAATGCAGGAGGAGTTTGCAGGCTGTGCTGAAGGAGCTCAGTGTCAGCAGACCACCCAAAGCAGCTTTCTGCCCCATGACCAGTGCTGATCTGACTGCACTGGCAAGTGGAGAGACTGCTGCTACAGCTTCCCTCTGGTTAGAGAACCACGTTATTATGCTGTATACAGCTCTGTGTTACCTTGGAAGATAAGCCATTTCTCAAGAATTCCTGTACTTCCCTTTTGTGAGCCTTTGATCTGCAAAAGAAAGTTTAGGGGTTTACCATCTCCACTTTCACCCCCCC